GAACATTGCAAAAATTTTCCCTCTTGTTTCTTTTAAGACTGCTTCAGAAAAATACTGTTTGAATACTCTTGTAAGTCTGGCCCTGTCTTGAGGGATTTATGGATTTTTTTCAGTCTGTTTATAACCTCCTGTAAAGCTTCTGAAACCTTTTGGATTAATCATCAATAAACATTTACTAAGTACTTCCCAGAGTTCAAGGTACTCTACCAGTTGCCGTGGGCTTAACAGGGTTCAAGGTAGACTCAGTCACTGCCTTAGGAGTCAGCAAAATGATTCTATTTTTTTTCCAATAATGAGATTATTTTATGTGATCTCAACAAAGAAATTCAATCCAACAAATGATTGGCTATGTCCCATATGTAAAAGTTCTCTTCAAGAGAGTGGAAGAGACTGTATAAAGGACATCCAAATTGAAAGAGCCATGGAGAATGATTACCAAGCGAATAAACCAAGGATTTACTAGGGTCCCTCTGTCCTATGACCAGTGATAAATTAGACTTAACCACTAATCCATGATTTCTGGAAAGTCCAACACCCTCCCCAAGGTGACTGTGAACTCTTGAGCATCATTGATTCCACCTCAGCCTCTTCACATCTACTGCCAGTAAATTAAAAATGATCAGTTATAGATCATCTCTCTATAGTGCCTTTTGGTTCTTGTTCCTTCTATGTCCACTTAGGCTCACTCCTTGATTTCTATGTGAAAACACAAGAATATTTGGCACTTATTAGACTTTTCTGAGTGGTCATTTGGTCAATAACATTACTGTATGTAGGAAGGTGAGAAATGTAAAACCAAAGAAAAAGTAGCCAAGAAATTAAAACCCTCATAGGCCATTCATTCCTTCATAGAAGTCTCCAGATCCTAACCTGTTTTCTTGTCTGGAGCCTCACTTGAAAAACATTTTCTAATCTTTGACATCTAAATCTCCAAGTATGTTTCAGAAAACTCCACCCATTTAACCTTTCCCTCAAGATCCATTCCTCTTTTTCCCAACGGCGTAAGTCTGGAGTCAAGAAATTCAGTATTAATTAGTGCCTGGGTTGCCAGCCTGTCAATCTTTGGAGATCTTTTGTTCTTTAAATCACATACTGCTGGGCAGGGTGGCTCATGCCTGTAATCCTAGCACTTTGGGAGGCCGAGGGGGGCATATCACCTGAGGTTGGGGAGTTTGAGACCAGCCTGACCAACATGGAGAAACCCTGTCTCTGCTAATAATACAAAAATTAGCTGGACGTGGTGGCCCATGCCTGTAATCCCAGCTACTCCAAAGGTTGAGGCATGAGAATCTCTTGAACTGGGAAGCAGAGGTTGTGGTGAGCCAAGATGGTGCCATTACAGTTGAGCCTGGGCAACTGAGTGATTCTCCATCACACACACACACACACACACACACACACACACACACACACACACACAATTAGATACAGTGTCGGCTTTTGTTGGTAAGGGAGTGGACTCTTCTCTCAATATGAGCTGAAGGCCTTAATTATTCCTCTGACTATAAGAATAAACTCGAACACTTCCCAAAGACAAGCAGTAAGTTTTTGGAGGCAGATTGTCCAAAGTCCCATAAGATAAAACCTTTGCCTAACTGCCTTCTTGATTAGCAAGACTATCTTTCTCATCATGGAGTATTTCTTCTTACAGAGCAAAACAAGATGTGCTTTTCCTTTCTCTCTCCCCCACCACACCCTACAAAACACACACACACACACACACACACACACACACACCACATATTTTTTATTTGAGCCTTTTTAAGATTTAGAAACAGACCTGAATTACTCTAAGTTATTCTAATACCTGGACAAAGCTTTAAAGCCACTGCTAATAAGGTTTTAGACTGTTCATAAGTTCTTAGGCAAGGGTGTCCTCCTCCTCAGTTTTAATCTTGAAGGCGAAGGAAAAGGACAAATTATATTTTATTGTAGCCACAAAACCAAAAGAAACAGTTGTTATTAAAGGACAGAAATAGGAGAATGACTGACTTAAGTAAACAGTAAGAAAAGAATCAAAAGGATCATTTTAGAAAATGGCAGATGGGAAAGCCAGTTTGCAAAACATTAAGGAGTGACTAGCTGCTGAGGAATTAGTGAGGTTCAAAGCCAACAGTGTTTTTATGAGATCTTAGGGAGAAACTGAGAGAGAAATGGAAAAGCAGCATGACCCATCTTGTTTGGTTATCAATCTAACACTTTCATGTACATGAAGCAATTTATTTAGCCAAAACATTAAATAAATCATTTTGGGGGAGCTTTATAATTGAAATTATATCTATATTTAACTCATTACGGATAAAAAAAATTATATATTTCTTTACGAACCTGAATGAGATGTACTGCCGCCTTCCTGACTTTATACTGAAGGACTAAGAAGCCAGACTCATGGAGGGTGCCCAAAATGACATTACAGGAAGAGGCTGAAGCGTGTGAAGTAGTGAGAAAAACTTGATTCATCTTGACATCTCTACCTAGCCCCCCAAAAGCCTGCAACTTCAAAGCAAATGGCTTGAAGCTGGATAGTGTGGGCCCTGGCAATTCTGAGGAAACTCTAGTATGCCACCAGGAAAGTAAAGACTGGATCCGTTTCTCTTACAAAGTTAAATGCTACGTGACCAGTGGAGATACAACTGGGTGCCCAGGTAAAAGCAGAGACCTGGGTCTAATTCCACTTTCCCAGATATCAAGCAAATTTTTGGAAGAAATGGAAGGAAAGATTAAGGCTGTGCCTTTCTGCTGTATTCCTGGAGGAGCTGGGCCCCTGTCTGATATTTATGCTTCCTTTTCAGAAGCAATTGTAGGTACTTCTGACATAGTAAAAAAAAAAAAAAAAGAAAAGAAAAGAAAAGAAAACTGAATTTAGTGTTCTGCCAAAGTTCTGAGATTATTAAAACCATTTTCCTAACGTCTTTATTATAATAGCTATCATTCTGATCATCCCACGTGTAACATTATTGTTTCTTAAGATTTCTAATGCATCTTAATCAGACATTTTGTATCTTAAATTAACCACTATTGAGGCAATTTTCATGGAGGTTGTATTTCTCAGAATCTTTATTTTAAATAGTTTATTAGGTAAGTGTCTGAAAATAGTTGGCAAACCGATAAGGTAAAAAACATTTGTTTTTATTTTTTGACAAAGGAAATTGTAAGTAGTTAGCTAGAACATACAACAGGATTGTTTTTGGTTATATCCTAATGATAGGCAGAGGACACAAAGGTGTAATATGTTTCAAGGTTAACAGTTAAATATGCTTGAAAGGAAGCAGTAGTTGTTTAGAGAATATGTGGTTTAAAGCAAACATTTTTCTAACCCTGAAAGATGTTAATGATTCCTATTAATAACACAGTTAAATCTCTGAAATAGCAAGTTGTATTTTTCACTGTAGTTTTTCATAAATGGGTTTAAAGTGCTAACAGTTCTGACTTTTAAAAGTATATCTGGTCATTTCCAGATCTTCTATGTAACAGAATTTGCATATTTACAGAAGTTTAAATATGGCCTAATAGAATACCAGGGAATACAGGACCAAGTGCTCGAATCATCACTGCAGTCACTTGATGCTTATTTAATTAAAATAAAAATTAAATTGTATATACTGCTGTGTATGTGGCATAAAATTTACAGATCAATAACAATCTTAACTAAGGGTTTCCTTATTATTTTATGCTAGTACCTTCAGGAAAAGCCATTTTTAAGATTCAGACCTAGATCAAATCTGGTGAATTAACAAAATGGAAACGATTATTACTGTATCATCGAACATTAAGATTCAATAAAGTGAAAAGTGACTACTATTTGCAGGCCACTGTTATTAAATTTTAAAATTCTGCCTCTCACTTCCTCTTTCTGCCTGAACATGACTTAATTTATCCTCTAATATGTTTAAAGTCATGCATGCTTGTAGAGGACTTTGATCTTTGCTTCATCTGGAAATAATTCCAAAATTGTAAGACTGGAACAGTCCTCAATTTCTGAACATTCTGCAGCAGGATACAATAGATACAGGATACAACAGATGTTTGTAAGTTCCAAAAAAACTTATCTGATATATTGGTGGAATGTACACATTAATATTAAGAACGGGAAAATAAAAGGCACATAGCAATACATATTATTGGTGTTTGTGATCCCCACTTTCAAATACTGTAGAAAATAACTAAATTTGAATAAACACGCCTGTTTTCATGACCCTATCCCTAAACTGATATGCTTCAATATTATTAAATTGGCACTTAGGTCATTGTATTGTGAGGCCACAAAGCCATATAAGATACAGGAGAAAATTGACACTTATTAGGTGGGTACAGCAGCATTGTTTTGACAGTGAAAATTACCCATTTACAATGTTTTAAGAAAAGCATGCCTAGCACAGACCACCTGATGACCAAGAGGAAACTGAAGAGGAGATTCTACTAGAGGTAAGAAAGAGATATTGTTTTCCTGACTCCGTTCATTAGGTTCAGGGTAAACAACTCTGTTTACCAAGGATAAGCTAACTCTCTTTCGTTTGAAAATGTGTCTGCACAGGTAGGCCTGCAGACATAACAATGTTAAAAACAGATAGCTTTATTGCAGCACTTATCTGTATCTTGACCATTCAAAGGTGTTCAACCTCAGTGTTTTATAATAAAGACCAAGAGGAACGGGCTGAAAGGAGCAGGAGAGATCAGAGAAAGACTGCCGCCTTAGTCATGGCCTTCAGGCAAGCAGACCCCAGGGGCTCAAATGAGGGAAAGGCTCGGGTTAGCCGCCAGTTTGGCAGAACTTGTTACCAGTGTGGTCTGAAGGGACATGTTGTAAAAAACTGTCCCCAGAGGAATGGACCACCACCTCATCTATGCCTGCTGTGCCAAGGGAATCACTGGAAAGCACACTGTCCCTGGGAACCAAGGTCCCCTGGGCCTAAGGTGTCTGACCAGATGGGCAGGACTGAGGATGCCTGGAACAAGTACCATCATGAGCCATCATCCTCACAAGGCCCCAGGTAAAACTAGCCATAAAGGTCCAGGAAGCCAATCTTCTCCTGGGCGCTGGCACAGCCTTCTCAGTATTTCTCTCCCGCCCTGGAAACTTGGTGCTGGTATTAGAAAAGTTACCACCTCTATTCAGTTACTATAAGCTATCTCAGAAGTTAATTAATAACAAAAACAGGTTGCTAATTCTCTCTGCAAAGGGTAGCTCTCTCTGCAAACCAGCTTAACTCCTTAGGTGCCAGAGCCTTAAAAATAAAAGAGCCCTAAATCTGCTAACAACAAAAAAGAGGGAAACCAGTTTTTTTCTAGGAAAAACGCTGCTATGTTGTAAACCAGTTAAGTGTTATTTTAAATACAGAACTCAGTAATCAATCAAAAACAGGGCTAGAGAAATTCTGGAACCTGGCTCTGTTCTCTCCTAGGCTCGTTTATAACTCTGGGCTTCTCATCTTTAACCACCTGGTCATATTCATTTCTTATAAAATCATAAGGTCACAGTTAATCCTGCTGCTGGAACCGTAGATGTCCTTGGCTTGTAAGCTTTATCGTGAACCTGTAAATCAACCTGCACCCCTAAAAGTCTCCCCTCTAGAGAAAACCTCAACTTCAGAGCCCCTTCTACGCCCCATTTCAGCAGGAAGTAGTTAAAGAGAATCAACGCCCCAATTCCAACACAAATTAAGCTTTCCTGTTCAGAGGGGGGAATGAGGGAATGTGTTCTCTTTCCGGGTCCATGAGGGGGCGTAGCTTTAAGGGCAAGAATTTCCCAGCGCCATGCCCCCTTCCTATCTCTCTCCATCTGGGAGATTCAACAGTTTATGTTTAAATTTCGCAGGTGTGGGAAAAAACTAAAAGTCAATCACTCCAGCGGAAGTTCTAAGGAACTCCTTTCATTGGCGCAGAGTCTTGGAGAAGGTGGGGTTTTCTCCCAGAATAAAAGTTCGTGCTCCCTCACCTGCACTGGATTTTCCAGCTTTCTGGAATTCCCTCCCACACAGTGGGAGCTCCCTCCAGGATTTTCCCCTATAAAATCCCCTTCCACATTCTTCGTGGAAGCTTTTCTCTTCTTTCCTTCTCTTTTCTCTCTCTCTTTTTTTTTAAAAGACAGGGTTTCACCATGTTGATCAGGCTGGTCTTGAACTCCCGGCCTCAGGTGATCCACCTGCCTTGCCCTCCAAAGTGCTTGGCTTACAGGCGTGAGCCACCACGCCTGGTCTCCTTCTCTTTTCTCCACCTAAATAAATCGCCTTTCTGCAACACTGTTTTGAGTCCAATATTCACTTCATGAGCATGTGGCACTGCTTATTCCTTAAGAGGTTAGAGGCTAAGAACCCACAACAATCACCGGCATCCAAAAAAAATCCCGGTTACAGTGTTAATATGCCAGGTTTCCCAAAGTAATTAATTTTTATCTTACACACTACTTGTTCCATTTACATGATTTGGGAACCACAACCATAAATGTTACAGATGCCCTTGACTAATGATGGGACTCCATTTCAATAATGCCATCAAAAGTTGAAAATATCATAAGAAGAAAATGCATTTAATACATCTAACCTACTAAACATCATAGCTTAGCCTACCATGTTCAAAACACTTACATTAGTCTACAGTGGCAAAATCATCTAACAGAAAGACTATTCTTATGAAAAGATGTTGACTATTTCATGTAATTTATTGACTTCTTTACTGAAAGTAAAAAACAGAATGGTAATAAGACACTCATCATTAACATTCACAGTTGAAAGCACCATTGTAAAGTTGAAAAATCATAAGCAGAACCATCCTGAGTTGAGGACTGTCTGTATTTTCTTGGATATTTCCTGAAATATGTTTCTATGTGTTTCCATCTAATAGAAAATGAAATATACCAGCAAGCAAAATGCAAAAATGCATAAATATTTATTTCAACCCCTGTATGGTTTCCTAAAGCTGTTTAAACCTTAAGTTCTAATATTAGGATAGGCTATGACATAATTTTATAGTAAAGATTAGTTTCAAAGTCACTAATCCTGGTTTTAATCTAGACTCTACCTAATTAGCCATATGACCTTGGAGAAGTAATGTCAGCTTTCTGAACCTTAATTTTTCATTTATATAAGAATACTGAAATCTATTTTGGCAAACTTGCTGGATTGTTGGAAATCTCAAATAAAGACATGGATATGAAACAATTTTAAAAACTCTCACATCAAGGGATGCTTTTTATGCTCTACCAGAAATTATATGTGTTACTTAGTGCCTGAGGATAAGAAAAGACTGTATATATGCATAATGAATCAAGACAGTTATATTAATTATGGTGTTTCTTCGGGGGAAGATACCTATAGTTCTGTGTTATTTTATCTATTTTACATGTGGGAAAGCTTAAATCTGAAACAGAAAATCAATACTTCTGGTCTTATTGGGTAGAAAGGGGCATTACTATCTATTCCAGCTCCTGATTTCTGGGAATAAACAAAAACAGACTTTATTTGCACATATGGTGCCTAAACTGTTCTAGAAACCATTTATCTGGTAACATTTGGCCAAGTGTCACTCTAATCATTAACACCATTAACGTAGAAGAAACTGATCACTCCAGTTGCACTGCTAATCCGTTTGATGCAAAGTTAGAAATGACACTATTTTCTAACTGTTATGTTATCCTATAAGCATCATTCCAAACATTTGGAAGCTTCAAGTCCCCTAATATAATGCTTTAGATGAACTGTTAAAAGCTTGGCATTGGGGCAAATAAACAGTTTAACAGCATGTTCGGTCTCAAAGAAATTTGCCCATGTATATATATATGTCCATATATATATATATATATATATATACACACACACACTGTATTTGCTTATATATATATATTTGTATATATATATAATTTGCCCATGTGTATATATATATATATATATATATAACTATGTGTGTATATGTATGTGTGTGTGTGTGTGTAAATACATATATATGTATGTGTGTGTGTATATATATATATATACACACACATATATATAGCAGTTATTTGAAATTTGGCATGGAAATTTAGTCACCAGTGTATAGGATCTCTTGATAAGTCAATTCAAATTATCAGAAAGAAATGTTGCCACAATGTATGCAAATTATTTTTAATAATGTTTTTATCTTCTCAAGGCTTCATTTTAGTTGTAATTTAGGATATAATTGAATTATTTTGTTATAATTTATTCTACATTCACTAGTACTGCTTTCTACAATTTCTAATTTAAGACTGAGTTCATTATGCATAGCTGCACGATTCTAGGTGTTTTTACAGGATACTGAGTATATTGCTCACTTACCAGTTTTTGTTTCCTCATTTTTGACTCTTTGCAAAATGGCAAAAAAAAAAAAAAAAAAAAAAAGAAGAGGGGAATAGTGGTGCTGAAGGAAATAAATTAAATTATCTGGTTTAATTAATTAAGTTCAGGCAGTAAACTTAAAACTTCTTAAAATTTAAACATAATCCTCTGGTTGTTTTATAATCATGGCTAAAGAATATAGAAGCCAAACATAATTTAAAACCCAGGTACGAAATATTTTGTAGTAAAATTAAAATCTATTTTGTACTGAAACTAGATGTATTGCACGTCTTGCACAATTAATAATTGATACATTATTATCACTCAAAGTGTACCTTAGGGTTCATTCTTAGTGTTGTATGCTCTGTGGGCTTGGACAAATGTATATTGACATATACGCACCATTGTTGTAGTATCATACAGAATGGTTTCACTGTCCTAAACATCGGCCGCGTCTGCCTATTTCCACTTTCCTCCTAACCCTTGGACAATCACTGACCTTTTTACTGTCTCCATAGTTTGGGGATTTTTCCAGAAAGCCATATGGTTAGAATCATGTAGTACAAAACTTTTTCTGATTGGCATCTTTCAGATGCCAATTCCTAACTTAGGAATTCAAATTCCTAACTTAGGAATATGCATTTAAGTTTTCTCCATGTCTTTTTATGGCTTGATACCCTTTTTTTTTTTTTTTTTTTTTTGAGCACTGAATAATATTTCCTTGTCTGGATGCATCACAGTTGTTTTATCCATTCTTCTACAGAAGGACTTCTTGCTTACCTCCAAGTCTGGCAATTATGAATAAAGATACTATAAATGGCCGGGCGCGGTGGCTCACGCCTGTAGTCCCAGCACTTTGGGAGGCCGAGGCGGGTGGATCACGAGGTCAACAGATCGAGACCATCCTGGTCAGCACGGTGAAACCCCGTCTCTACTAAAAATACAAAAAATTAGCTGGGCATGGTGGTGCGTGCCTGTAATCCCAGCTACTCAGGAGGCTGAGGCAGGAGAATTGCCTGAACCCAGGAGGCGGAGGTTGCGGTGAGCCGAGATCGCGCCATTGCACTCCAGCCTGTGTAACAAGAGCGAGACTCCGTCTCAAAAAAAAAAAAAAAAGGTATCAAGCCAGATACTATAAATATCTTTGTGTAGACCTGTGTTTCCAACTATTTTGGATAAATAAAAGGAGGAAAAATGCTGGACTGCATGGTAAGGGTATGTTTAGTTTGGTAAGAAACACCAAAATGTCCTCCAAAGTGGCTGTACCATTTTGCTTTCCCACCAGCAATAAATGAGGGTTCCTGTTGCTTCACATCCTCACCAGCATATGGTGTTGTCAGCCTTCTGGATTTTGGCCATTCTAATAGATGCGTAGAAATATCTTATTGTGGTTTTACTCAGCAATTCCCTAATCTTTGCATATGCTTATTTACCACTTGAACATCTTCTTTACTGAGGTGTCTATTTAAGTCTTTTGCTCATTTTAAAACCATGTTGCTCATTTTCTTATGGTTGGGCTTTAAAAGTTCTTTGTATATTTTAGATAACAGTTCTTTATCATATGTATTGTTTGCAAATATTTTCTCTGTCTGTGGCTTGTCTTGTTCTTCTCTTTACCAGATACTTTTCTTTTGTAGAAATATTAGCTGTACCTTTAGGGTGATTTGCTATATATTATTTATGTAATCCACTTTAAAAACAATTTGCAATATTAGAAAAGCAAAATTTTATTATAAGGCTTTAAACATAAAGTTCATCTGCGATTTTTTTTTGCCAGATAAATTTATATCCTAGCTTGAATATTTCTAGTATAATTTCTAAATTTCTTTTAGATGTGTTCATTAGGTAGAGTAAGTTTTTAATAGATACTTTGTAATATATGCATTATTTATTTCATGCAGAACTTGAGTTAGGTAAATTAATCTTCCTGCTTAAAGTTTCATAGTTCAGGTAAATAGTAGTAATATTTATTGAACATATATGCTGTGTATATTTTAAGTATTTTATATGAACTATTTTATTCGGCCCTCAAAACCCTAGGAGACAGAGAATATTATTTTCATCCCCATTTTATGGATGAGGAAATGAGACAAAGAGAAAGTAAATTTCTGAATGTCATACAACCCATACATGAGTGGAAGAAACAGTGTTCAAACCCAAGCAATATGGTTCAGAAATGGGCTTAGCCATTACTCCACATTACTATATGTCATGTTCCATCTTTCCAGAACATTACAATTCTTCAATTGCTCTTGGATGACAATATCTCCTTTAGTTTTCTATGTTACAGATTATTTTTTAAATACCAGTGATTTTTACAAAGATGAAATTTTGAAGAAAGAGATTGAGTGAAAGGTATCATTTCAATTAGGTTATCCTTTCATTAAGTGTTCACAAATTGTATAGCCAAAAGTTGAATGATTTTGTATAACTCTATGATTGGGTAAAAAATTATATAAGCTGATTACTCAATTTTGGGAATTGATGTGAGAAATTTACTTTTAATCTCTATATTAAAGTATTATCATTTATCATTTCTAAAATAATTAAAAGTCAAATAGTATAATTTTAGTGAAAGCGAAATTTTAGAATGCATAAGTTAAATGTTGTTACACTTCACTTAACATTTTTCTGGTTTTCTTTAGTAATTAAGTGCTTCAGTTTTTTCCATGCCATTTAAGTAATAGTCTTTACACTGTTTTATATTAAGAAATTAACAAGAAAAGGGCTTTAAAAAAAAATACAAGCAGATAATTTTTCAGGCAGTTAACAGGAATAGGATTATATCCTTCAGGAAATTTATAAGTGATTTTCCTATCCAGTAATAAAACAGATGAGAGGAGGTTGCTGAAGTGTTTCCTAATCTTTCATTTTGTCACATTAGGATTAATTTAAATGCCAAAATTCAAAATGTCTCCTGTGAAGAAGGAAAGAAAAAGCACACGTCAGTGGCCAACTATACAGGGAAGAGCAATGGGTGCATATATACGAAACTCTATTTGAAAATTGTTTCATTCACTGAAAACATACAATGTTGAACACATTCAATTAAAATCTAAAGTACTTAAGGAGAAGATGCATATGTACCTGAAAATGTCTTCCTCACAGTACTCTGAAGTTATATTTGTAATAAATATCTGCTGGTGGTTCATTAAGTCAACAAACATGTTTAGTACCTACTAATTGCTAGAGAGTCTCCTATCCTGAGCTCTCAACCATAGAGGCCAGGTCCCAGCTCTGTGAACCTGCAGTCTGCTAGAGAAGTGGGGAGAAATGAACAATAAATAGATGAGCATTAAATTAATAAAGTCATTTCAGATAATTATATGTTATGAAAAAATAAAACAGGATGTGGTACAGAAGGGCTAATGGTCTATTTTTAAATTTTTAAATTATATGTTAAACACATAAAAAAAGTTATTATTTAACACTACATTTATATTATTTATTTCATGTGTATATCACATATATAAAACCAAAATACACAGCTTCTTAAAATCTAGCTTAAGAAATAAAACATTTAAAGCCCCTACCTACCCTTCTAATCTCAACTTTCCCCCTACCCTCACCTCTAGAAGTTGCTACCACTTTTGCTTCCCTGTTTGTCATTTGCTTAGTCCCCCTAATTATTTTATCACATATTCCTGTACTAAATAAATAGTATCATTTTGTATGTTTAATGTATTGTATAAATGGAAGCATATTCTTTTTTTAATAACTGCCATTTGGGGGGTCTACCTTTTGTTTTAGACATTCATCCATGTTGATGCATATTCACTTGTTTTCAATACCAGGCATAATACTTCACTCTATGAATTCATCACAGTGTATTTATCTATACTACTTTTGATTGGCATTTGGGTTGCTTCCAGATTGTTTTTCTCTTTAATTGCCATTACAGCTAATGCAGCTTTGATTCTTTTTGATCATATTTTTGACCTGATACATATGTATAAATGGTTCTCTATGGGTATGTGCCTATGTGTAAAACTTCTGAGTTGTAAGGTATGTTAGTTCAAAATTTCTAAATAAATTTTCTGCTTTTTAAAGGAGCAGTACTTATGTACAGTAGAAATATGAATTTGGAAGCAGAATGTTCTACACAGAGAATACAAGCAAAAGCCCCGAGGTGGAATAAGCTGATGTATTCTAGGCAGAGAAAGAAAGACAAAGAACTGAAACATAGCAAGACATCTAGAAGCCAAAAAAGGATTAAATCAGGGCTTTATAGGACATTTGAAATAGGAATCAGGGTGAAGAACATATGATTTTATGCACGACACTAAATTATTGGTAACCTACAAATATATATGCATTTATATTATATGTGTGTTCTTGCATTGCTATAAATAAATACCTAAGGTCAGATAATTTATAAAGAAAAGAGGTTTATTTGGTTCACAGTTCTTCAGGCTGTACAGGAAGCATGATGATTGCATCTGCTTCCGGTGAGGCCTCAAGAAACTTACAATCATAGTGGTAGGCAACAGGAAGCCAGCATGTCACATGGGAAGAACAGGAGCAAGAGAGAGAACAAGAAGGTCTCAGACTATTTTACATAACCAGATCTCATGTGAACTAATTCAGTGAGAACTCACTTATCACCATATGAACGGTGCTAAACCATTCATAAGGGATCCACTCCATTGATCCTGTCACCTCCCACCAGGCCCCACCACCAATATTGGGAATCACAACCCCAGAGATTAGGAGAGGACATCCAAGCCATATCAATCAGTAATATTATTTATATTAAATAGCATATAAATACTATTTAATAAGGAATTTATGGACTACTACAGATTTTATAGAGCAGGAAGACAAGTGAAGCCACTGTTAGCCACTGGGAAATTTTTATTTAATTAAGAACCTCATTCAAATTATGAAACCAAAGTGAAGAGAATGACAGAAAGCAAAGATGCTATGATTTGTATTTAGTCATTACTTTGCAATCATTACTTCAGCAAAAGGCATATTCAGTGTCCCTCAAGATGTCACCTTTAATAATCTCTGTATTCCAAGTGGAATTAGTGATTGTGTAGCCCGAGCAGCAGTTTTTCTGCTAAGAAGCAGCCAGCAAAAAAAGACTTGTATTAAGTGAAAACTTAGCCCTCTATATTTACTTCAGGTTGACTTTATGAGGTGCTGATGAACATTTTGGGTTGGGGGTTTACAACCTCTCCCCATAATGCACTTCTTGGCAAAAGCACAGAGAAATAGTCTATGTATGAAATTATGGTCAGTTATTTCAACCTTCAATGTGTTTATTTTCTTCCATCAGACACAAGTTTAGGACTCATTAACACATTTTTCATAGCAGAAATTAATTAATGAATAAGTGACTTCTATTAAGCTGAATAATGCAATGTTGCTTGATTAATTAGTGTTCCTTTTTTTTATTTTTAGACTTCGATGCTTTACTGAAGTCTTGTTTCAATTGATAGTTTTTTTATATTACACCTTAAGTTCTGGGATACATGCGCAGAATGTGCAGGTTTGTTACATAGGTATACACTTGCCATGGTAGTGTTTGCTGCACCCATCAACCCATCATCTACCTTAGGTTTTTCTCCTAATGCTATCCCTCCCCTAACCCCACACCCATTCACAGGCCCCGATGTGTGATGTTTTCCTCTCTGTGTCCACATGTTCTCATTGTTCGACTCCCACTTATGAGTGAGAACATGCAGTGTTTGGCTTTCTGTTCCCGTGTTACTTTGCTGAAAATGATGGTTTCCAGCTTCATCCATATTCCTGCAAAGGGCATGAACTCATCCATTTTTCTGGCTACATAGTATTCCATGGTATATATGTGCCACATTTTCTTTATCCAGTCTATTATTGATGAGCATTTAGGTTGGTTCCAACTTGTTGCTATTGTGAACAGTGCCGCAATAAACATACATGTGCATGTGTCTTTATAGTAGAATGATTTATAATCCTTTGTGTATATACCCAGTAATGGGATTGCTGGGTCAAATGGTATTTCTGGTTCTAGATCCTTGAGGAATCACCACGCTGTCTTCCACAATGGTTGAACTATTTTACACTCCCACCAACAGTGTAAAAACATTCGTATTTCTCCACATCCTCTCCAGCATCTGTTGCTTCCTGACTTTTTAATGATCGCTGTTCTAACTGGCATGAGATGGTATCTCATTGTGGCTTTGATTTGTATTTCTCTAATGACCAGTTATGATGAGCTTTTTTCATGTTTTTGGCCACATAAATGTCTTCTTTGGAGAAGTATCTGTTCATATCCTTTGCCCACTGTTTGATGGGGTTGTTTTTTTCTTGTAAATTTGTTTAAGTTCCTTGTAGATTGTGGATGTTAGCCTTTTGTCAGATGGATAGATTGCAAAAATTATCTCCCATTCTGTTGATTGCCTGTTCACATCACTCTAATGATTGTTTCCTTTGCTGTGCAGAAGCTCTTTAGTTTAATTAGATCCCATTTGTCGATTTTGGCTTTTGTTGTCATTGCTTTTGGTGTTCTAGTCAGGAAGTCTTTGCCCATGCCTATGTTTTGAATGGTATTGCCCAGGTTTTCTTCTAGGGTTTTTATGGTTATAGGTCTCATGTCAAAGTCTTTACCCCATCTTCAGTTAATTTTGTCTAAGATGTAAGGAAGGGGTCCAGTTTCAGTTTTCTGAATATGGCTAGCCAGTTTTCCCAGCACCATTTATTAAACAGGGAATCCTTTCCCCATTGCTTGTCACCTATTTTGTATTTATGGAAATAAGATGTTTAAGATAAAATAGACAATTAGTTAAATTAAAAAGCATTGAAAAACATATATTACAACTGCTTTTTAAAAATGAATCATCAATCTTGTCTTCGACATTGCTACTTGTATTTTGCAGCACAATTGATTGCATTCCAGTAAAATTCTCTTTTTTAAAAGAATAGGTAATGCTCTAAAAGTCTAAGACATGTCCATCATTCTTGATTAGTAAAATCATAATACATTTTAATAATTTTATGTACCATAAGGCTAAAGGTGCACATATTTTAAAAGATGTTTAAATCTAAACTGCACTTTTACCTAAAATAGCAACAAAAATTAATTAAATATTACAGGCTCTAATAGGAGAAAGCAATGTGCCACAGTGCAGTAGTTTAAAACTCTTTTGACCAAATTTCAATAAGAAAAACACATTTTACATCATGACTAGTGTGTGCACACACTCGTGCATGTTTACACACATGCACAAACCTTGCAACTGCATCAAAAGTTTAAGAATAAAAATTTACTATTAATGTATGCATGTA